ACTATATATATATATAATACTTTTCACATTCTCTTTAGAAAATATAAAAATTCATTCATTATTATTAAACTTCAACAAAAGTGAATTTGCCATGAAGCTAAGTGATGGATGCAGAAGACTAATATGTAGGTCAGCGGTAAAAACATCTTTGTTCATGTAAGATTAAGTCCATAAAAAAAGTGATTGTATTGTTGTTTATTAGTGTTTTTTGCAACAGTAAAAGAGTAAAGATTAATTAAAAGTATTATTTTATTATTTATTTATTTATTTTATAAATAAATAAATATTCATAACCATTCTTTATTTAAAAAATGAAGTCAACTGATAGTCTTATTTTTTAATTTTTTTGAAAAATGAGAAATATGAATATGCCATTTCTTTGTAAGAATCTCTTTGCCCACTTTTGATTCTTATGTAAATTCGTATTATTTCTTATTTATCTTTGAGAAATCCCATCAGTCAAAGCCAGTCGTCTGCGATAGCTTCGGGGTTGTGCACAGAGGACGACTGCGGTCTCCTCAAACACGGGCCTGTCCTCACGAGAGCTCATCCTAAGATTTACTACTCTCAGGACCAGAGACCATATGACCTTTCACCCTACCACCAACCTGCCAGTAAGTGACATCCTGAATCGCTCTCCTGTGACATGTAATCTTCCATTACACTCACTCGGTTCTGTTTTCCACAGTTCCTCCTCACAAGTCATGCAACGCTCGCTTCCATCGTTCCAGCAACGTCCCTGAGTCCATGTTACCCCCGTCAATGGGCCCTCTGTACCCAGACCAGCACCCCTCTGTTCCTCCTGCAGACAGATTAGGCCCCGGCCCGTACGGGCCACCCTCGACCTACACCTCTATGTCCCACGCACACAGCATGTACACCCCGGTCTACGACAGCCGGCGCGTGTGGAGGCCGCCGCTGTATCCCAGGGATGGCGGGAGGAGTAACTCTCTCCCTCCGGAGGTCTTTCATTCCACCGTCTACCAGCCGCCCCTCCGAGAGCGCTTCAACTCGCTGGACAGCCCCTACTGCAGCACCGCGGAGCAGAGAGCGCCAATGCACAGGGCAGGTTTCATTATCTCATGTCTTACAGGCTCATTCAGTGTCAGCTGGAAATTCTCTTCAATGTTAGTTCGAGTTATAACCAGTTGCAGCTATTGCAGCAAGAACAGTTTTATTACAACAGTTGCAGCAGTATTTTTTGTCTGTCACTTGGTTTCTGTTGTGTTAGGTTGGACCATTGGTCCAGAATCACTTCACATAGCTTAAATATCAGTATAGCATTAGCAACTACTCTGTATTAGAGATTATTTATTTATTTATTAGTATTTGTTGATATTGAAGACAATTTGAACAGTGTTAGTTTAGTATTATTTATGTACCATTATAGTATTTATTAAGATTTTGAATGAGCTTTTATTTTAATTTTATTATTTTCAGTTTTCATTTTCATTTTAGTTCAAATATTAGTTTTGAAGTCATTTTTATGTTTTTATTGCGTTTTAATTTTAAGTGTAATTTCAGTACTTAAACTAAAATAATTCGATTTCATTACCATGGCAACATTTATCTTTATAATAATAACATATTTATCCTGGATTGTTATTTTTGTCAGGGTGGTATAGGAAGAGGAATCAGTTGCAGGGATAACAGAGATTTGAGTTTCAAGCACAAAACAGGAACTCAGGAACTAAGCCACTGTCCGAGAGGGTAACCAGGAGAGATTCCAGCCAGGTCTGTGGAAGTGAGTGTCAGCTCAGCAGGAGGCGTCTAGGAAAGGGGTTTCAGAGCGAAGGGCAGAGAGCAACAGTTCAAGAGCAACGAGACAGACAAGCTCTCCAATGAACCCCAGGGCACAGGGAATGGCGATGGTGGGAGAGAGAGGGAGAGCGGTTCCAGGAGAGTGAAGGCAGGCTTAACTGGAATCTTCTGAGGCTGGTGGACAAGACTGATTTTAGCAGAGCAGCTGGATGGATGGAACAGGAAGGGCAGGGAAGCAGGTAGCGCAGGACAGCAAGGGATGGGAGGGAGGTGGCAGGCAGTAGGGAGTCCAGCAGCCAGAGCTGGAGGGGGAGCTAGGGAGCAAAAAGGGGGAAGGGGAAAAACTAAACTAAACTAAACTAAACTGAAAGGCAGGAGCTCAAAAAACAAGGAACTAGATAGCACAGAACTAAATCAAAAAAGAAAAACCCTAATATCAAAAAGTATAAAATAAATGCAAAAGAAACTATTTTTGTTCATTTTTTGAATATAACTTTATTATTTTTTTCAGTTCTAGTTTTTAGTACTTCAACTTCAACTTATTTTATTTTATTTTATTTAGTTGCCAAGGCAGTTTGATTTCTAATCATAATAATAATATAATAAAAGAATGTAATCATTTAATTTTTTTCATGTAATATTTATATATTGTTTTATTTGAGCTATACTTAAACTTACAATTTTACATTTCAGAGGTAATCTTTATCAAATCTTAAAATGAATATCCATTTTTCATACTGTACATTATAATGCTGTGATGCCTAAATTCATTTATAACATTTAAAATGATTTAATTACATTTTTTAGTGTTTTATCTTTGATTCATTTTGACAAATAGTATAGTATAAATAGTAGAGTATAGTATTTTATGGTAGTGTAGTATAGTATATTATATAGTATAAATATAATACATTTTAATATCAGTTTTGGGTAGCGGTCACAACATTATTATCTATTTATCTTTATTTATTTATTTATAAATATTCAATTATGTATATACATTTTATTATCCTGGCTAGATGGGGTTTTGTTGCTTTGTTCAGAATTCTCTGTGTAAATTGATAGGGAAACTTGACCTGGTTACATGTAAATTTAGGTCTTAGGCTTAAAGGTGAATTGTGTCATTTCTCTGCCACTAGTGGTTCCAGATGGAATTACAATCTGTGTGTTTATCTAGCTAGAAAAAACATAGTCTCAATCAAAGGCGTGAGTTTACTTTTGTCTCCCTGTTTAACCGAGCAATGGAAGACAGGGGAATGTTTGAAACTTGTTTTTAAAAAGTCATTATTTTCACCCTGTTTGTTGCTCAGAAATTTCACACTTCACTTTTAAATGTAAAATAGGTGACTAAGTCATCATGAGAATGGAGAAGTTAAAAGCCATTTTCCGTCTTTTGTGTAGGATGCGTACACCCGTGTTCCTCTCGGCTATGAGGAACTCTATCGCCACAAACAGGAACAGTGGGTACATCACCACGGCAACATGAACAGGCCCTCCCAGTCCTCGCCGGTCTTCACTGTGGATGTGTGTCCAGAGGTACGGCCCACCGATATGGTGTTTTTAGAGGTGTGTGTCATGGGAAAAGTACACCACATGTCTGCACCGTGCTGAAGCTGAATTAAATCAGATTTGTTGTTTGTTCAATTAATAACTTTGGCACCGAAGCAGCTGTCGCCCTTCTGAGGTGTGTTAAGCTATTTTAAGTGGGTCTGTTGCTCAGCAACTGATAAATCCAAAGCAAGAAGCAGTTCTGTCCTGAAAACTGTGTGTGTGCGCACAAGCGCTTTGAAACGCATGAACTCTCAGAGAAAGATTTGGCACCACGGAGGCTGAGTCACTTTACATTGTTTCTTTCCACCCCCATTTATTTGAATCTGGCAGCCTGTTGCACATGGTGGGTGTGAGATAGAATTTTGTCATCTCACTCTTTCTCCTCCTTTAGCATCCTGAGGGTGTAGGTGGTGGGCGTATGACTTGTAAGTGTCATGGTGGAGAAGAGAGTCTTGCCCACTACTCACCCTGGTCGTGCAGCACCATCAGCCCATTTGAGTCAGAGCCCCACCATTTGTCAACCCACTCCTGTTCCAAACAGCTAGTAAGTGGTCGCTTCACAACACAATTGCACTCATTTATTTTTATAACGGCTTACTCTATAACACATTTCTATTGATTCCTTTGAAGGCCATCAAAATGAATATGAATGAATATGGTGGAAGTGGAGTCACTTCAGATCACATTAACACTGAAATACTTTTAAATGTGCTTGTGCAACAGATTCCTGTTGATTTCCTCAAACTGAAACAACAGTGAATGTATAAAGACACAAATGGAGTCACTTCAGATCAAATTTGCACTGGAATACTTTTAAATGTACTTATTCTTTAAAATATTCCTATTGATTCCCTCAAACTGAATCAACAATGAACATACAAAGGGTACAAGTGGAGTAACTCCTGATCAAATTTGCACTGGAATACTTTTAAATGTACTTATTCTTTAAAATATTCCTATTGAGTCCCTCAAACGGAATCAACACTGAATGTATAGATGGTACAAGTGGAGTCACTTCAGATTACATTTACACTGAAATACATTTAAATGTGCTTATTTTTAACAGATTGCTATTGATTCTGAATTAACTGAACTGAATTAAAGATGAATGTGTAGAGGGTACAAGTGGAGTCACTTAAGATTCACACTGGTTTTCTTTTAAATTTGTATACGATATAACACATTACTATTAATGATCTCAAACGAAATAAAAAATTAACGTGTAGAGAGTACAAGTGGAGTCACTTCAGATAGAATCCACAATGATACAAACTTAATCAGCTTACTCAGTAACATATTCCCATTATTTCTATCAAACTGAATCAAGATAAATGTGTAGCATAAGTGGAGTCACTTTAGATTTATTAAAATCTAAATCACTTTAAATTGGTTACCATATACATGTAACACATTACTGTTAATTCTCTCAAACTGAATTAAAAGTGAATGTGTAGCATGTACAAGTGAAGTCGCTTTGTATATACACTGCTTTATGGCTAGTTTTACTTTATAAGACTTACCTATTCATTAACACAATCTGATTGAAAAATTAATGCTTAGCAGATACAAATGGAGTCACTTCAGAACACATTCACACTGATTCTCTCTTACACTGGCTTGCTCAGTAACATATTCCAAATGATTCCCTCAAACTTAATTAAAATACCACAAATGTGCACACCACATTTAACTGTTTGAGCTACAGGTACAAGTTGAGTGACTTCACATTACATTCAGACTGACTGACTGGTAAATCGTTTTGCCCTGTAACACTATAATAATTCTTTCAAACAATCAAAATGAATGTGTAGCATGTAGAACTGGAGTCACTTCACTGTAATGTGAGTGTGACTGTAATACAGACTCATTTATATATACCATTTTATAAAATTAAATAGCACATTTTCACAAGTTATGATAAGTGACCAGTTTATCGCACAAAGCAGTGCTTCATAAGTGTGATTGTGATATGATTCCTAATTGAGATCTAATTATCTGTCCTCAGGACGGGGAGAGTGGCGGCAAACGGTGGCTGCACATGTTTGAGCCCTACAGGCGACTGAAAGACGAAGATCCCATCATTCCTTTTGGAGAGGGGCCCATCATCTCTAAATGGGGAGCCATCTCTCGGGCTTCCCGCACTGGCTTTCACACCACTGACCCTTTCCAGGCTACTGCATCGCAGGGGTGCGCCGGCACCACATCAATCAACTTCAGAGGTTTAAATTCATATTGCTTTCTATGCTTTTGACTCTGAATTTCTTTGGCTTTGAAAGTGATTCATGTTCCATTCTCTTTACAGACTATAGCTGTCATATTGGTCACAGTGACCTCAGATGGGGCCCACGTGGATCTGATTCTTCTAGTCACTCCAGCTTTCTAGAAAGGTACCAGTTCAAACTGAGACGTCTTGTGTAGAAACTTCATTTCTAAATGCAAATGCTTAGTGTTAAACAACAACAACAACAAAAATCCCATAGACTTACTTTGAAAAAGACATCTAAGCCATACTGTATATAGAGACTGAAATATATAGAGACTGAAATATATAGAGACTTGGGGGTGGGTCCTGTTGACTTGAGCCAGTAAACAACCACCTAGTAACCACTCTAAACACCTTAGCAACCACATAGTAGTCATGCATGTACAAATTATTATTAATGTCACTTGTACATTAATTGTACTGGATTGTTAGGAACATTGTAGCAGTAGTCTTCACAGTGTTTCCCCGTCTTCACCCCCACCCCATCCCGCTGTAGTCGTCTGGCTGTCCTCTGTACCATTCTAAAAATAGAGCAGCAGCCGGAACATAACTCCTCTCGTTTGTGTTTGCAAAGCTCTTACACACTGCAATGAGGGCTTACATTTCATAGACGTCTCCTTAACACCCACAAGTCCATATCTGCCTGCTACAATTCATCTACAAATATCTGAAATAAGCAAATGTGTATTACTAGTTATACATATATATATATGTCTTGAAATTAATTTTGTGATCTTAAATTATTGTACAATATTCTACACCATTGTTGTGTATTTTTTTCTGAAATCTAAATAATAATTTTAATCAATGTCTCTTGCACCAGTGATACTTTTTTCAGCCTGATGCTTACTTATTTAAATGACCTCTGTTGTCGATACCAGGGCAAAACTAACATGCTTTTGAGTTTTTAATATGTATAATATATTTTTATATATAATTGAATTTAATATATACATTTATTTAAAAGGATGCATTATTAGTTTTTGGAAGAAGTCTCTTATACTCGCCAAGGCTGCATTTATTTGATCAAAAATACAGTAAAAACTGCAATGTTTTGAAATATTATTAGAGTTTAAAATAACTATTTTTCTATATTAATATATTGTAAAATTTTATTTATTACTGTGATAGTAAAACTGAATTTTCAGCATCATAACTCCAATCTTCAGTGTCACATGAGCCTTCAGAAATAATTCTAATATGCTGATTTGCTGCTCAAGAAAATGTGTGTGTGTGTGTGTATTTTTGTGTAAACCGTGATAAATTTGTTTCAGGATGAACTGAAAGCTCAAAAGAACAGCGTTTATTTGAGATTAAAATCTTGTGTAACATTATAAATGTGTTTACTGTAACTTTTGATCAATTTAATGAGTTCTTGCTAAATAAAAGTAAAAAATTTTAACAAAAATGCTGATGTAAACTTTTGAACAGTGTGTATATATATATACAGTTATTTAAAAAAATAAAACATATATAAATTTTCCTTAAATTTATTTATAGAAATGTTATAGCTTAACCTACAAAAATCTCCTATTTTTCCCTGTTATGTGCTCTAATAATATAACATTGTTTTTGGTGTCAATGATGATTACTCATAGGGCAGATTCTGAGTGGGAGAACACCTCTCACCTGATCTCAATTCTGAGTTTCTAGTCTGAGAACACCAAACAACAGAACCGACTGATTTGTGTTCTTAGCTTTGGTTTGGTTTCAGAGCTCAGTGTGTGTGTCTGTGTGTTTCAGCGATCAGCTGGCCATGTCAGGGCTGCATGTAAGGCACAATTCCTTCAGAAGCGGGTTAAAGCAGGGCACAGATCTGCTGGACAAGGATGGGATGGAGAGTGAGCCTGACAGAGACATCGAGCTGGAGCTGTCCGCTCTGGACATGGAGGACACAGAGACACCGGACTGCAACTCTGAGGTAACTTTTAGACTCAGTCTTGAAAACCTAGATTGCATTGGGTTGTTTAGTGTCTAATTGCTTATATAATCTGAAGGACTCTATGGAAACGCAAAGCCGCTCCAAGAACAGCCACCTCTCTACAGTCTTCGGTGATCCAGCAAGTTCTCAGTTGGAAAACAACCTGCCTGACAGAATGGACGCCCACCTTATGAAGAAGATGGCATTCAGGTAAGCAGAACTTTGTTGACACTGCAAACCAGGGCTCTGAACCGGTTCAAGGAACAAAAAACGGAAACTAACGACATTTTGACAGGAACAGAAACAGAAACGAAATCAAACTTTAAACTCTATGTATATATTTTATCGTTCCATTTAATATTTGAAATTTGCTATCAACCAGTCACGAATTCCAGTAGTACGGTCTATGCAAATGTGCCGCTGCCGCTGCCATCAACGGGTGAAATGCCCGCTCAGCTGTGAACTCATCATAGGTAATGCTGCGTTCAAGTCCTCCTGGGACGTTCGTACTTACGAGTTGACAAGTCGTAATTACGACGTCAGGTGCGTTCAAGTCAGTTTAGTCGGCACAAGATGGCGGTGTACCTTCTTTTAATAAATTACAAGAAAATACAACAAGGTCTGTTAACTCTGCTTATAGAAAATGAAGAGCAAAGAATTCGCATCAGGTGTGTTTTGTGTTTTTAATATTTTTAAAACATGCAACATGGCAAATCAAAAGATTTTTCACCTATAGGTGCAAAAATGATAGCATTTTTTTACTTGGATTTCATTAACTAGCTGCGTAACAAGAACATGACCAATTTAAGTTTATAGGACAACAAAACTATCAATTTAAACAAAAATTTACTGTCAACTACAGACGTTGCATCCATCGATTCCGCCATGTTTCTCATTGACACGCCCCCAACTCGGAAACTCGGGGCTTAAAGAACATTTCGAGTTTCCCACTCATAATAACGACTTTGTGGTGGCACTCATGTGCGTTCAACTCGTAAATACGATCTATCCGACATGAATTGAATGCACCATAAGTCGCAATGGCAATGCACCGGCGTTGAGTTTATCTGAGGATAGTGTAAGAAGGATTCAACAGATCACACGCAACTGCAGCGCTTCTGTGAATGGAGAAAACTAAATAAAACTACAGGCTTACATAAAAAGGAATATAAGCATATACACGAAATATATTTTACTTAAATCATTGACAGATTAACAAAACGAAAGAAGAAAATGTGCTGAGTTACGGTTCATTGTAATGCGTTCCAAAGTTCTCGGAAAGGAAAACGAAACAGCAGAAAGTAGTTTTCTTTATTTTCTGTATAACCAACCAGCGTTGGTATGACCATCGTGCCGGCGCCTCACGCGCACACACAACATATTTTTACGACGTTGCAGCCTGTTCATTATCAAAATCAAATACAATTAAAAAAACTAATAAAAAGTTACATTGCTCCGTTGTACAAAATTTGTTGCGTTCAGCGTGACCAGCGCCTCACTGTGCTGATATAGCCGATGTGAAGGATGATGTTTTACGTCGATAAAAGTGCAAAGCCTAGCCTATAATAAATAATATTTTAGCATCCAGATACATTGCGAATAAGGAAACATTTGGATTTGTGCCGAATGAGCGAGGTAGGCATCAGATTCACCTTAAATTAATTTGTTTTTGGATTGACGTTTTTATAGCCTGAACACATAGCCTTAACTTTAGAGGATTTGTTGTGGAGAGAAACTAATAACTGTGTTTTTTCTTTTGTTTAGTAGCCTACATTTGGCCAGAATCTAGAAAAGATGATGCTGTATTGGCTGTGACTAAGCGCAGCTGGTTTCATTGCACAGATCATTTTTCTTTTTCTTTTTGAGTAAAGAAAACGCTTTACTTTTTTATTTTTATTATTATTATAGGCAAAGAAAATTGTTTTTAAAAAATAACGTTATTAACCGGTATTTCTTTTACCTGAACTGGTTTCGGAATGGTAATAATAATACAGAGGAACGCAGGAACATTAAACTATCAATTCTGCTCGGAGTGAACCAACTGAATTAGTTTTTTCATTTTCAAGCCGTGCTGCAAACGAATCTGATTCGGTGTTCGAAACCCTTTTGGGGCTGACTGTTTGCTTGTCATTTTGCGAGGGATGAAATCGGATCAGTTCGTTTGTAGTCAATATCCAGTGTATCTACATTGGTTGCTGTAGTAATGATGTAAGCATCAGCACAATGTCAAGATACTTAAACAACAACTGTCAGTGAAGTCAGTGTGGAAAGAGAGGAAAACTTTGCCAATTTTTATCACGATATATAGCTGCAATGCTGAATATAAGTAACATACTGTGTCCAGAATTGCTGACTCTTTGACTTATTCACTACATAGCATAATTCAAAAAGAAGGTTATTATAGTTTAGAAGTTTTCATTTTGTTATATATTTTCAGTTTATTTTGTTTTTATTCTTTATTCGAAAAATTAATTTATGGCCAATTTTTAATTCGTTTTGTAAACATGAAAATGTACTGTATTTAATGTTCACTTTTTTTCCCAGTTATGATAGTTTTTATTTTTATTTCTTTCTTATTTTTTAAATGTTGAGAAACATTCAAAACAAATTCAAATAAAATTTCAAACCACATATGAATATATTGTGGAACAAATTTGTAAACATCAAAAAGAAGCAACTGTGCAAGCATTTTTTCAATTTTTCAAATCATGTCTAATTTATTAAAATCATGAAACTTACTGTAAACAATTTAACATCAATTTATTAAATGTTTAACAAAAATTACATGTTTAGGGCCCTATGAAATTTTTTATTTTTTTCCAACCTTATGTTTATTGTTACCAAATTCTGTGTTTTAGCATGTCTAATTATTTGAAAGCATAAAAACAAGTTTCATTTATTCCTACAATAGCCTTATGATTTTTTCCCTCAGAAATTCTGTTGTGTATTTAAATTTTTTAAGGCATTCATTTAATAAGGCATACATAAGGCAACATTTTTAAATTTAATTTATCTTTTAATTAATGAAAATTAAACAAATAAAATTTTTTGGAAAATAAAGGGTATTTAATATTACAATTAAAACATTGAAGAAATATTGTATGATTATTCCTTAAAAATTAGGTTTTAACAATTTTAGTAGTAGAAGTAGCAGCCTATTACATTCATTCTCCTGAACAATAGTAATGTATTTCTGCCGCAAAGTCTTCAAATTAAACCAAACGTTTATTTTGACAGGTTGCCGTGAATACCTTTACATTTCTGTGTGTATGACATGATGATAGTTTTACTCAAATGAAACGGTCAAATGCTGATGAAGTGACTCTCAGAGCAGTTCTGGAGATGTTATTCATGTATTTATGTCCTCATTAGTGAGACTGCAGACGCTAATATCACCGCAAGCGTCACGAGCGTTTCAGTACGAGTACTACACAAAACCGCGCGTCTGCGCCATTCATTAACACAGAGACACGCAGAATTCCTATTTTGACAGGTTGCCGTGAATACCTTTACATTTCTGTGTGTATATAGGTGCGTTCGACTTGAACCACGGCTACAGACTGCGGTCAACAAAAGTAGCCGCTTGCGGTCAGGGATGGAGTTGAAAATGGACACGTCAAGCCGGACACTTTCTGCTCCCTTTAGTGACACTCACGCGGTGTTTGCATACTCTATCACAGATGAAGTGAATAAAATGCAATATTTGTCAAATACACAGACGTTTCAGAAACGTTTTCATGAGCAACAGAAACACTTTTTATATACTGCTTAATACAGCGACATCTTTTCAAGAATTAAGTTCAACATAATCATATACTCTTTAAATACTAATAAAGTGGGGGTATATATGCTTTTATCAGTGTTTTATGATAAACGTGACTCAATATAACAGTGCGAATACAGTAAACAAGCTTTTACTGTTCTAAAAACACAGATTTGTGGCCATTTTTGGAATTGAAAAGGTTAGAATAAACCTTATTCTATAATAATATAATGGCAGGGGAAACACTGGCATAGACCTAACAATATGCTAATTAATTAACGTAACATGGAACTGTAGATATTGTATTAATATTAGCCATATTATTGTATGACAGATGAATGTGTACCAACTTACCACGCACAACCTTTGACATCAACAACTACAAATATTGAAAGCATTTTCTCTCCCATTTTAAAAGTTGATAAGCTTGTTTATGTATCATTAGGAGATGTAATTTATTATTTATCTTATGGTGATTTATGGTATTACAGAAAGACCCTCTCCCCTGGAGACCTCAGTATGGGAAAGATGTCGATGAGGACATGCTCGCCCAGACCTGGAGACCTTCCGCGACCCAGTCCAGGACCTGAGATGCTGCTAAACGGGAATTGAGGCGGGCTGAAAACACCAGTTACCTCATGTTCTAATTCCATGGGGCCATGCCAAGAATCCAAATGCAATATTTGTCAAATACACAGACGTTTCAGAAACGTTTTCATGAGCAACAGAAACACTTTTTATATACTGCTTAATACAGCGACATCTTTTCAAGAATTAAGTTCAACATAATCATATACTCTTTAAATACTAATAAAGTGGGGGTATATATGCTTTTATCAGTGTTTTATGATAAACGTGACTCAATATAACAGTGCGAATACAGTAAACAAGCTTTTACTGTTCTAAAAACACAGATTTGTGGCCATTTTTGGAATTGAAAAGGTTAGAATAAACCTTATTCTATAATAATATAATGGCAGGGGAAACACTGGCATAGACCTAACAATATGCTAATTAATTAACGTAACATGGAACTGTAGATATTGTATTAATATTAGCCATATTATTGTATGACAGATGAATGTGTACCAACTTACCACGCACAACCTTTGACATCAACAACTACAAATATTGAAAGCATTTTCTCTCCCATTTTAAAAGTTGATAAGCTTGTTTATGTATCATTAGGAGATGTAATTTATTATTTATCTTATGGTGATTTATGGTATTACAGAAAGACCCTCTCCCCTGGAGACCTCAGTATGGGAAAGATGTCGATGAGGACATGCTCGCCCAGACCTGGAGACCTTCCGCGACCCAGTCCAGGACCTGAGATGCTGCTAAACGGGAATTGAGGCGGGCTGAAAACACCAGTTACCTCATGTTCTAATTCCATGGGGCCATGCCAAGAATCCACCATCCTCCTTAGGTAGAAGGTAGAGTTGCCCTTATAGGAGTCAATTGAGGCAGCGAGACGCAGCCGAAAGCCTTCTGTATTCATGTGTTCTCTTCATAAGAGCTAGCTATGCCCTGTAATTGTAATCACTCATCATCTGTTCAGAGTCGGTTTGTTTTTCTTAATCACTGCTTGTGGATGAATGTTCACTTTGAGTCACAACTCCACCTCAGGTAACTCTCGATGTCAGCCAATCAGAACTCTCTCCAAGCCAGGAAACCAATTACCCATGTCCCGTAACTCTGTACAGAAGAGACGGTTCTCACTAGCTTTTAGCACACTGAAGAAACCATAATCTACTGTATGATGATTATATAGCAGACTCTTCCAATATATATTTAGAATAACCAAGGTGCTTGGAATCTATAGTACATGCATTAATTATTATTATTATTAATATTATTGCAGTGTTAGCCACTGAAATGTTTTGTGCATTTATTGTTTGTTGGGCATCATTGTTTGAAACAGCCATTCATTGATCGTTGTTTAAATGTATGTGTGTGGATTATGCTATATGTCTGGTATCTCTAAGAGACATTTTACAGGTATTCAATATTTTGTAGAAATATTCAAAAGAAACAGTTCACCCAAAAATGAAAGTTCTGTCATTCTGTCATCACTATAAACACAGCGTTAAAGTGGACCATACGACTTGCGTTATTATGTTATTACGTTATTACGTTATACGTTATTTCCAAGTCTTATGAAGCCTTATAATAATTTTGCATGTGGAATTTATGTAGTTAATCACTACATTGTTCGAGTCCAGGCCTGAATAATTTCGGCAAGTCAAGACCAGAAGTGTTGAGTCCAAGATAAGACGAACACCAGATAATGGTCGAGTCTGGGTCAAGACCAAGCCCAGAAGAGGGTCAAGTCTGTGTCAGAGTCGAAAAAGCAACCAGAAGAGGTGCTGAGTCCAAGTCAATACAGACACCAGAAGAAGGTCAAGTCTTGAGTCAAGACAGAGACCAAAAGAAGGCTGAGTCTGGGTCAAGACAGAGACCAGAAGAAGGCCCAGTCCGAGTCAAGACAGAGACCAGAAGAGTGTTGAGTCTGAGTCTAGACAGAGACCAGAAGAAGGCAGAGTCTGAGTCTAGACTGAGAGCAGAAGAGGATTGAGTCTGAGTCAAGACAGAGACCAGAAGAGTGTTGAGTCTGAGTCAAGACAGAGACCAGAAGAAGGCTCAGTCCGAATCAAGACAGAGACCAGAAGAGAGATGAGTCTGAGTCTAGACTGAGACCAGAAGAAGATTGAGTCTGAGTCTAGACAGAGACCAAAAGAAGGCAGAGTCTGAGTCAAGACAGAGACCAGAAGAAGACCCAGTCCGAGTCAAGACAGAGACTAGAAGAGTGTCAAGTCTGAGTATAGACTGAGACCAGAAGAGGATTGAGTCTGAGTCAAGACAGAGACCAGAAGAAGGCCCAGTTCAAGTCAAGACAGAGAACAGTAGAGTGTTGACTCTGAGTCAAGACAGAGACCAGAAGAGTGTTGCGTCTGAGTCAAGACAGAGACCAGAAGAAGGCTCAGTCCGAGTCAAGACAGAGACCAGAAGAGAGATGAGTCTGAGTCTAGACTGAGACCAGAAGAAGATTGAGTCTGAGTCTAGACAGAGAGCAAAAGAAGGCAGAGTCTGAGTCAAGACAGAGACCAGAAGAAGACCCAGTCCGAGTCAAGACAGAGACCAGAAGAGAGATGAGTCTGAGTCTAGACTGAGACCAAAAGAAGGCAGAGTCTGAGTCAAGACAGAGACCAGAAGAAGGCAGAGTCTGAGTCAAGACAGAGACCAGTAGAGTGTTGACTCTGAGTCAAGACAGAGACCAGAAGAGTGTTGAGTCTGAGTCAAGACGGAGACCAGAAGAAGGCCCAGTCCGAGTCAAGACAGAGACCAGAAGAAGGCAGAGTCTGAGTCTAGACTGAGAGCAGAAGAGGATTGAGTCTGAGTCAAGACAGAGACCAGAAGAGTGTTGAGTCCGAGTCAAGACAGAGACCAGAAGAAGGCTCAGTCCGAATCAAGACAGAGACCAGAAGAGAGATGAGTCTGAGTCTAGACTGAGACCAGAAGAAGATTGAGTCTGAGTCTAGACAGAGACCAAAAGAAGGCAGAGTCTGAGTCAAGACAGAGACCAGAAGAAGACCCAGTCCGAGTCAAGACAGAGACCAGAAGAGTGTCAAGTCTGAGTATAGACTGAGACCAGAAGAGGATTGAGTCTGAGTCAAGACAGAGACCAGAAGAAAGCCCAGTTCAAGTCAAGACAGAGACCAGTAGAGTGTTGACTCTGAGTCAAGACAGAGACCAGAAGAGTGATGAGTCTGAGTCAAGACAGAGACCAGAAGAGAGATGAGTCTGAGTCTAGACTGAGACCAGAAGAAGATTGAGTCTGAGTCTAGACAGAGACCAAAAGAAGGCAGAGTCTGAGTCAAGACAGAGACCAGAAGAAGGCCCAGTCCGAGTCTAGACTGAGACCAGAAGAGGATTGAGTCTGAGTCAAGACAGAGACCAGAAGAAGGCCCAGTCCGAGTCTAGACTGAGACCAGAAGAGGATTGAGTCTGAGTCAAGACAGAGACCAGAAGAGAGATGAGTCTGAGTCTAGACTGAGACCAGAAGAAGATTGAGTCTGAGTCTAGACAGAGACCAAAAGAAGGCAGAGTCTGAGTCAAGACAGAGACCAGAAAAAGACCCAGTCCGAGTCAAGACAGAGACCAGAAGAGTGTCAAGTCTGAGTATAGACTGAGACCAGAAGAAAGCAGAGTCTGAGTCAAGACAGAGACCAGAAGAAGGCCCAGTCCGAGTCAAGACAGAGACCAGAAGAGTGTCAAGTCTGAGTATAGACTGAGACCAGAAGAAAGCAGAGTCTGAGTCAAGACAGAGACCAGAAGAAGGCCCAGTCCGAGTCAAGACAGAGACCAGAAGAGTGTCAAGTCTGAGTATAGACTGAGACCAGAAGAAAGCAGAGTCTGAGTCAAGACAGAGACCAGAAGAAGGCCCAGTCCGAGTCAAGACAGAGACCAGAAGAGTGTCAAGTCTGAGTATAGACTGAGACCAGAAGAAAGCAGAGTCTGAGTCAAGACAGAGACCAGAAGAAGGCCCAGTCCGAGTCTAGACTGAGACCAGAAGAGGATTGACTCTTGAGTTAAGACAGTGACCAGAAGAAAGCCCAGTCCAAGTCAAGACAGAGACCAGAAGAGCGATGAGTCTGAGTCAAGACAGAGACTAAAAGAAGGCAGAGTCTGAGTCAAGACAGAGACCAGAAGAAGGCCCAGTCCGAGTCAAGACAGAGACCAGAAGAGTGTTGAGTCTGAGTCAAGACAGAGACCAGAAGTTGAGTCTGAGTCTAGACTGAGACCAGAAGACGGCTGAGTCTGAGTGAAGACAGAGACCAGAAGAGTGTTGACTTTGAGTCAAGACAGAGACCAGAAGAGGGTCGAGTCTGAGTCTAGACTGAGTCAAGACCAAGACCATGAATATATGGTTTAAAACTTAGACTTGTGTACTACAACAAAGTCATTTTTGGGTGAGCTGTATCTATTAGTTATAAGCAACAAACAGCCCAATAGAATTTCACAGTTCAGTCTTGTTTGAGGATGTGGAATTGTTTAGTGTATATGAAATGCCTAATACAGTGACAGTTCCTGTCTGTTGTATACAATAGTCAAAAGGTCACTTCGGTTTTTGTTTTTGCTGTTGTTGATTCCTGTAATTTCAGTTTGAAGAATACAGATGATTAGAGTTTAGGGTTCTTTAGTTTCCAAAATTCTTGTTTCCCCTTATTTTATTACAAAACATTGCTAACTTCCATGAAGTTGTTGGGATATTTTGTATCAGTTTTTAATTGTTTGGTCAGCATTTTGAAAGTACAATCAACCCTACAGTATCTACAAACCATCACATGTTTTTGAGGATTATTTCCTGCTTGATTAAGAGTAAATAGAGGAAAAATAATCACAGTAACTCCAATATTACTGGTGTTTTCATGTAGTTTTGTGCACTGTAGTGTTCCTGAAAGGAGATGAAAACTGTGTAACAGCGCATAGAAAAACTCTCCCATTTAAAATTGCATTTCAGCATCTAATTTATGACAGGATTGTTTTTTTTGTTTAATACTTTTCTCCGGTCACTGATTTCTCTTTTGTTAAATATATTGCCTGGACCAGTTAAGTGTGTGTATATGTTTGAATTAGTGTATGAATGTGCATATTGTCTTAAGCCTGAACAAAATATGAATATGAATGCATTATCACTTAAGACTGTTAATCACGGTTTTACTTATGTGGTATTAGTGTTTTTCCACTTAAAATGAAAAATGTGGAGTGAATCTTCCTGGTCTCGGCTCAAGCGCTGTCTCATTAAATCTCATTTTGCCTCCTGCAGTTGAAGCGTTTTTCGACAGGCGATGTTACAGCTGCACCTTCCAGCAAAGACATTTTTTTGCGAAATGCTTTTTGAATGATATACAGAAATTTTTAATGGTTGAGTCCTAGTGTGTTTAAGCATAACATCTTGTTGATTTAGTGCACATGTAAAGATTTTTGCCGTTATTTTTGGTTTATCTTCTATTTGTTGGGCCTCATCTGATATGAGAGTTTGAAAAATGGCGCTGGGTTGGAAACGATACGAGTTTCCGTTCTAAGTTTCTCTCTAGCTATCAAATTGCCTTTAAAATGTCACTTTTCCTATATTATCACCCGTTGCGATGCAGCAAAGCCTTATTAGTACATGTTTGACTCGTTTATCTGGCCAGCTCAGCCCTGTATCATGCATGCTGCCTTTGGCAAAGAGGTTCTTTGGCAAAGGAAGTATGATTGTGTAGTTGTGTCACACAACATCCCAGTGCTGTGAATGTCCGGCACTGTATCTGGCATTTTACTCACTTCCTATAGCACTTACTGTCTGCTTGTATGGATTAATATCAGGATTATGATTGTTATTGTTTTATATCCATAGTTCTGTAGTTTTTTCCCCCTTGGAAATGTTTTGTTTGCATTTAAATTTTACAAATTTGCTTAGCTGTACTAATGGGGCAGGACGTGTTTGGTTGTGATGATGCTTGTTTTTGTCCTGTATGCAACTGCAAAAACGAACTGATGTGTTGGATATTTTTACGTCTGTATTAGACATTTTATTTGCAAATCTATTGTTCGATTCAATTGTAAATGAATAGAAGATGGGCATCCGTCATTTTATACAACCAGAGCCATCATTAGATGGACACACTGCACATTTTTATTATATATAATCAGATATATGAGGCTATTTATGGTCACAGAGAGAAAGTGTCTAAAAGTCAGGAATATATTTTGATGAAATAATAGTAGAATTATTTATATTGCGTATTGTTTCTTTTTAAATACCACCGGGCAAACATTTCCCTTTTGCTTGTGGCAATGCAAGGAAGAATATATAGAAATGTAGCCAACGCACAGTCGATTCTTACTGGTTGGCTGTTTGTTTGATATTGCTCTTGTATCTTGGCTAAGCTTGGCTCTGATATGTAGGGCAAGCTGGTGAGATGAATCTAAAGGTCATGACATGTAGTTGCATGCCAAGATAATAAACACAGTTACATCATCGCTTGAGTGGTCAGACTCTTTCTTATACCCCCAGGATGCAGTTTTATGAATAAGCATGACATCTGCTGGTGTACGGTGGTATGGCACGTGACGGTGGGCTACTTAACTGGAGAATATATATATATATATATATATATATATATATATATATAAACAATACACTAGCCTCAGAATTTTGTAAATCAAAAGATTCTAATGGTGTATTTTAATATTAGATTACAGTTAGTAGGAAATAGATGCTAATCAGTCAGAGGAATATTTTGTTCCAAACCGCATACTGCTTAATGTTCTATATCTGCATTACCCATGTATTCTATACATAGTATATGGAATTTTTCTGTATGCGTGAAATACCAAATACCACCTTAGCCAGTTTAGACACCATAATGAATTTATTCATTATCATTTTCACAACCCAAAACTTTTAAAGCAGTTTTATGGAGTTTTTGTCTCCTGAAAATATATATATTTTTCTCAGAAAGATGTTTCATCTGAACAATTGGTTGTTAAACAACAGTAAAATCTATTGAACACACTGTACTTCTATCACTCACAGTCTTATTTTTATCCCTGTCTAGTAAAAATATGGCTCTAGCCTGACTAAGGTTCTTCTTTGGAATGTTCTATACTGACATTCGACTTTTTTTTCTACAGTAGGCCTAAGAGTATACAACATGCTCAACTTGCATTTACTATCATCTCTGGTTTTTAACTGCTCTTTTTTTTGCCTTATTACTTAATTGGACTGCCAAATGTTTCAAAATGTTATGCAAAATAGATTAAAAAAAAATGTGAAATTGTGTTTATTTTCTAAATTATAATCAGATCTGCTCTTTTCAGGTAAACATGCAACATAATTTAACATGACAACAGTGAAGCATGCTACTGTTTGAAATGTTTTTCTTCCACAGCTTTCTAAACATGGCTCTAGCAGTATGCAGAATGTAGTACATACTGCGCAGAAAGCCGTTCGCTAGTATTCGATTCCATTCCGAGGAATGCCGAAGAGTGCGGCGGCGCATGCGCAGTGCGTGCGGGGTTTGGTTTGTGTTTACAGCAGCACTGTTGCTGGCTAATGTTCATCGCTGTTATGTCAAGCCTCTCTGGAATAAAAAGCTGTTGTGGAAACAGGTAGGATGAGTGGCAACGATGCACACCTCCGTGTTTTTATTTATTCTACACGTCTGTTTCGTTATTCAGTAGTTTAGTCGTTTTAGGAGGAAGATATAACACAATATATGCAGATTTGGATTTGAGGCTAGCATGCTACAGTGTGTTAGCCCGTTAAAGGCCGTGTGCTGGTCTCTGCTTCACTGCATGACACAAAACCTGCAAAGATCTGCTGTCTGCACAGCGCACATCCCCATCTTTGTGACAGATTCTGTTTTAAACAAAGAAAAATCGAAAAAAACAAAAACAAGGACGTTGTTTGTGTGTTACTGTCTAAGCATATATAAGATATAATTAGAGTATTTGCTCGCCTCTCATAGTAGAAATGCATCATCTGCAATAGATGCAAACCTAGCTGCTTTAACGTTACTATATTTTATCGCCTGTGTAACGATCCTGATGGTCATGTGTTTGATTGTACTAGCTAGTGATTCTGAACCGAATCATTTAACGCTAAATCCGCCAAAAACATCTTTGACTGTTTGTCCAGTGACTCTTTCTGCAGTTTAGGTTGTTACGCCAGTAGGTGGCGCAAAGTGACCGTCTTTCTCTGTGTAATAAGCAAGTCATTGAATCATGCATTCAAGTAATTCCTGAGTGTTATAATTTTCCTTTATTATGACAACAAAGTATGTTATTGTTTCTCCAATTATCTGTCAGGACTAAGAGCCACAGTAAGTATTTGTTCAGTTCCCTTTCAGACTCCAAACGACCTGTTTAGTGAAGGGGAGGTGTTCATTTAGTAAGTCAACCAATAAAATGCTTAGTCATAAACAGCGGTCGAATGCTATTGGCTCGTGGAATAGCCAGTCTTTTAAGGTGTGGTCAAATTCGGGCAAAAAAAACGGTCCATTTTCTGTTGTCAATAGTGTATAGGGCGCAGGGATTGAAATCAACTTTTTCACTCACCAGCCAATTTGGCTACTACATTTTTAAGTTACCGGCCATTCATAACTTCTACTAGCCAAAACAAAAGACAGATATACACCAACAGTTTGAGGCCGTCTACACTGGGCGTGACAAAGCGACCGTTGCAAATCATTTTGTGTCAGTACTAGGGGTGTGCGATATTGACAAAAAATAATATCTCAATATTTTCTGTGATTTTTTATCGATAAAGATAATTAGACGATATTTTGCTGAGTGTGTTATTGTGCTGATATCTTAAGGACTACCGTGGACAGCTGGCGAAATAGCACAGAAATAGCGCAAAAACAGCCAATATGGTTTCTAAAACGCAAGTCTCTTGATATTAACTTATTGTTTATTGAACTGTTGTATAAAATAAATATCACATTTGTAACCATGCTGATTTTTTAAGAAAAAACGACACTCTTCGTGTGATATTGATTAACTATATGAATTGATATAAATATGTAAATTTTAGGGATGCACGATATATCGGCCACCATATCGATATCGGCCCATATCGGCTCATTTTTTTCTGTTATCGGTATCGGCCTGATAAGAAAATTTGGCCGATATCTTAAAGCCGATAAATAATGCATTATTTCCTTCAGAGACACTTCAGATGCGCGCTGTTCGTTTGCAGCCTTTTGTGCAATTGTACATTGTAATATTGTGTTTATTTGATGTATATCTGATGTATCTCATATAGAATGCGTTTGGTAAAGTTAAAAGAGCGCTTCAGTTTACCGGTGATCATCTTTAGCTCAGCACACGCAGCTCAAACAGCAGTGCACAACATTAATAACTATGATTGGGAATGTCGTGTATATAACATTCTAATGAGAACATTATTATAATAAAACGTTGGGAATTCTTTGGGTTTAGTTGCCGTGTTTCAGCGCGTTGTTATGGGAAGAGCGCATCCACAACAGGATCACACATTCTGACTATAGCATGCAATAACTGCGTCATTTTGTACATATATAAGTTGTAATATTATGTTTATGTGGTATTAATATTAATCTCAGGATGCATTTCCTTGAGTTAAATAAGCTGCCAGCAAAACGCTTCAGGTTACCGTGTTCATTCAGCTCTTCAGCTTCAGCACGCGCAGCTCAACGGCTGCTATTTAAAACAGTGGTATTAATTTGTTACTTTTTCAAAATCATTGATATATTATTAATAACAACAACCACTTGTATTGTTCTCTTATTATTTTCATCAACAATATGGTTTAGTAATTAAAATCATTTAATTATTGTCCGTGCAGAGGCTATTCCGTTTTATTGATCTATGGCGCATTCATTTTGATTCTTTACACGTGTAATGATGTCCAGTGACTTGTTTGCATTATTTATGCATAATTTTATTTATTTGTAAGACTTTTTTATGACTAAATTTGGTAATGGGAGAGTAAAAATATTTTTAAAACGTACACCGTTCAAACTAGGCTGCTTATGTTGAAGTGTTTGGGATGTGGCTTTTAATGATGAGACCTTTTTTGTAATCAGGCTCTCAAAAAGTATATAACAATTTGGATATAGATTTATCGGCCAACATATCGGTTATCGGCTTTCAAAAATAAAGAATAATCGGTTATCGGCCAAAATTTTCATATCGGTGCATCCCTAAAAAAAAATACCGTCATGTACCGTGAAACCGGTATAATTTTGAAAAATACTGTGATATAAATTTTCGGTCATACCGCCCAGCACTAATTAGAACATTCAAGCAGTTTAAAAAAAAATTTTTTTTTAAATGTGCCATAGAGAAAACATTGCTGGCGTGCATCACGATACAAATCAATGGCAATAACATTTTAAGATATGTCAGTGCAAGTTAATTTCAGTTAAGACAGTCTTGCACCAGGCTTAAGCCTTGTCTATGAATCTGCGCATTAAAGATGTTTTTAGATAAAATTCTGTGTCTGTCCCTCCACCCGAGCAGGCCAGAATACAACCGAGGAAAAATAGGTCAGGCTTAGCATTTGCTTGAGCATAAATTTATGATTTATTTCTAAAGCCCTTAATTTAATTTAGAAGAACGAGTGATAGACTGCAGTGACTCAGAGAAAAAGTCTCAGACTGATGGATGTCACTGATGCCCGTTTTCCACCGAAATTGTGCTGGTTCTCATAGCCAGCAAAACTGCAAACAACTCGAGAACATGCAAAGATTTTGTCTTATTTAAACACATTTTAACATCCAGTGCTATTTAATTCAGGATCGACGCAGTTTTGACACACCCATCAAAAGTTACAACGGTCATAACTCAGTTTTTCATATCGGTGCATCCCTAGTAAATTTTCTGCCTCCTTATCTTGAATTATGTGATCATTCTTAATGCATATTAATAGACCGAATCATGCAGTGAAAGAACCACTCTAAATGCGCACGCGCACTGAAGCCTGTGTGTGTTGGTCTAACCAGACTTCATCACGTCGCGTATGCGTGCGCCTCTGTAGGTGTGTTTTGTTTAGCTTTTGCAATATACTCGATAATGTCATGATGTCTGACAAGTTCAGTATTTGCGCTAAACCTGCGCAGATTTGGCCTGCATGAACTTCCCCAAGAAATTAATGAGTGAACATAATTTACGAAAAGTAACCCGGCAAATTGGCGTTTTTGGCGGCTTTCCCCGCCACAGCTGATTTTTACCCGCATTTGGCGGGTGTTCATTTCAAACTCTGGATGGTGTTTTCGAAACGATATCGATATTTTTCAAGGCAGTATCGTCGATATTGATACCGATTCGATACTTCTGAACTAAACTTTTAAATTATGAAATGTATTAAATTACTAAGAGTAAAATGGGTAATGATAAGCACTTAACTTTGTTTAAAACGCATTTTAACATTCAGTACGCCTTAATTGTAACTTATTAGGTTATGTTTTTGTTTACGCATGGTTCAAATATGTTTTTTGTTTACACATGATTCAAATCTATAAATACTACAGTTGAACTACGGTCACTTTAGTAAAACCATGGTTCATATTCATAAGGGACTGCCAGTGACAGGCTGCTGCATCCATAAAATGCAACCTTTTTATTCTGACAGTGTATGATTTCTAGTATTACTAATTACAGAATAGAACATGATCAATATTATCTTTCAACGTTCAATTTAAATAACTGTTATTGCACAAACTATGATATTATATAATGATGATATATGATAATAACTCTGTCCTTCTGTCCTCTAATAAGCATTGTTCAGGCTGCCGCTCCCAAAAGCTTTAATGCTTTCTTATGATACTTTTGGGAACAGCAGCCCTGTTTGAATGCACTGTCAGCAGTGAGTGAACGCTCTCTGTGATTGATAAGTTCTGTCTTGCAACATTTGCGTGTTCAGATGAGCAGGAAAATAGTTCTATCCTAACAAAGGTTATTCGTCCAATTCAATGCATATTGTACGCATTGTACGTATGCATATATATATATTTTGTTGAATTAACTAAATTACTGGTAAATAAAACACACCTTAGTATCGATATTTTTTGTTTGAGTATCGATACTGTCGATACTCGCGTCTATATCGATACTTTGGATCGATACGCCCATCCCTAATAGTGTAGCAAAGTTTGAAGCTCAGCTCACACAGAAGTCACTTTTTAAAACCAAGCAGGTTAGCGCCACTTGAATATTAGTGAAATCTGCATGGTGAAGTTGTTTGCTCTTTGCACGGGTTCCTATTGAAATGAACTGTACCTCAAGGCTGAAAAACTGGTATTCACTTCAAAAGGGAAAGAGCAGTCAGTGAGAATGATTCATTGATAAAAAATAAAAAAAAGATTCATTGATTGAAAACAGTAAGATCACTAATTGTAGCACCACCTTATTCCTCCAACTCAGAGGCGGATATACCCATTACTTACTGCCAGCAGTGAGTTCAGCTCTCATAAACGCACATTCATGTTGCTAACATGATTTCAGATTGCATATCAGTTGTCTTTGGATGAACTATGTTTCTGGTACGAACAGCCACACCTTAAGATTTAACCCAGACTGGTAGCTTTGTTTTTTCCCCCTGACAGGTGAAATAACGTATTAAT